CGTCCTGCATGTTAAACATACCACAATAACATTTATTTGACAAAAACTAATTGTTTTCCTTTTCATTTTTTTCTCAAAAAGAGAATAGCAAGCTATACTTACTTATGATGTAGAAGCACGGCATGAACCCCATCATTCAACCTATATCAGAAGATAATATGTATTGTGAATATTAGAATAAACTATTGACGAGCTTTGAGAGGTTGAATCAAATTGGATCATCTGCGTAAAAAAAACAAACCAACTGACTATTTTCTTACATTTTCTTGGAATTAAAGTGGTCACCAGTAAATTCAGAAATTCCTCCAACAGAATTCTGAAGCACACAGCAATTTGTTTGCACTCAGTGCCCCCAACAAAAGAATAGAGTTCTACAAACCAACAGAAGGTAACAGTAATGACCAACATAAAAGTATCACTTACTGTCCATGTGAAAAGCAAGGTAACATCTGCTGACATGTTCCCTAAATTTTTCAGCTGCAAAAAATAAAATTGTCTGCTTATTACTAACTTTAGAAGCATCAAAGTCCAACCAAAAGTTATATGGAAGTCATCCTTGCCTACCGTGAAAGTGAAAACTGTTACAGGAAAGCTACTCTCCTTGTAATTATGAGGTATAACAGGTGAAATCTGATGACAAATTATTCTCAAAGCTGGATCAGGTTCTGCATTTGAACAAAAGAGTTGATAGACGAGAGAGATAGTGAGTACTATAATGGAATTGAACTATGCCAACTAGCCCAGTTTACCCTCATAAATCGTCCAAGCCCTTGGGTACAATGCATGATATGTGGAACTGTTTCCATTTATATTCCAATCCCATGATTCAATCCCTGACACTGGATTTTGTCTGAATGAAGTTCATGCATAATTTTTTAAATTATATTCAAAGAATTTAAATCTGCCATTCAAAATAATAAATTAGAGACAGATAAGTTACAAGCAATCTACAAAGACTTACTTTATTATCTCTTGCTTCCCAGGGCAAAGTACACTAGAATATTTTTCACCACTTGGACGTGAAACAAAAACCTGAGACAACAATCTTTCTTATGTCTGAAAAGATAATACTATTTGGATGAAGTAAAGAAAATATACGACATAAAATAATTTGTAAGAGATACTTGAACTTCAAGAAATACTGATCCAAAAATTTGAGTTTAACTTGTTAATAACCACATTCCACGCTAGAAATGTATATATACAGATAGATGCTAAGAGAAATTCTAGGATTTAAGGGTAACCAGTGAATTGACATGATATAAACAACCAGGTAACCAAAATGGTATAGCACCTAATCCTTAATTACAACCCCAAGTTTTGTCGTTATGTTCAGTGCAGATTGGAGACAACTGTTTAGTGTCGGCATCAGGTAGTTATGCACATGTTCTTTTTGTCCACATTTCAAGCATTAAGGCCTTTTATGTGAGGAGACCTATCATATAGAAACAGTGATCAAACTTTCCTTTATAGTTTATCCTTTAAGGCAGTGGTATTTATGTAAGTATTATGCTCAAATGGGAACAGAACCACCTCCTAAGACAAAATAATGCTTATTTCTTCCATTACGAAGAAAAATCTACTTAAAAAGATTTAGGAAAAAAAAAAGTAGTGTGAAAGATAAATAAGAAACGGGAGAGATACACATAGATGTTACTCACAAAACATTAAGATATCACAGCCTGCATTATAACTATAATGTGCATTGTTGATAAACAATTCAATTTACTGAACTAGTAAAAAAGATTGGACACTGTTTTGCTTATCACAGTGTGAATAAACAACACACTGTTACATTGACATGCAAATTCTGGTATCATTGTATCTAAGGTCTGGATATAGAATATCAAATTTCATATTTGAAGGGAACACAGACAGTATCAGACCGCTCGGATTGCCAGAAATGTTTAAAAGAAAGTAGAAAGGTATCTTCCTGATCAAGGAGAATGAGTAAAACTTACAGAAAACTGATTTGCTAAAACTGGTTTCTCTTCACATACTACAGGGAATAGTTGCCAACGCTGAAATTCACCTCTGAAACTTCTTCCAATACTTCCAGCTCTGGACATCAGTTTGTCAAAAGAAAATAAAAAATTGTATATTATTTACCCAAATTATCCAAAACGTTCTCAAGCTAATATAAATTGGATAATAATGATGATGTTAACATCGTAATATTCAGGTTGTCACATATCATTAAATGATTTTTACCATTTTATCACTGTATTATTTTAGTAGCCTTAGTTATTTCCCCATAAATATGCTGTACATTTCATTAATGTGGCCTTATAATTTCTCCCTTGTACAGTTACTGAATTACTATTTAATGAGCAATGCCTAAATAGGTAGAATAGTTTTTTCCCCAAAACCACACTCTTGATATCATCAAGATGACTCGTGTGTGAGTGTGTGTTTGGACAAATGTAATGTGATTATAACTTATTATATAATTGGTATAACTAGAAATAAAAATATACCTATCGACATTTTAAACATAAATCCAATTGGCACCTGTGGTAATATCAAGCCAATAAACGATATCACATTTTCCACGCACAATATGTACATGTTTTATACTACAACTGCAATATTTCAAATCAAAAACCCATAACCTAATTAGTTGAAGGTAACATTAAAAGGATCATATCACAAGGATGGTTAATTTAATCTTGTGATTATCTTTTAGCTTGAGCACATGGAAGAGAAATGTTACTTAATTCGAGATTGAAGACTTACCCAATAGCTTATATTCATAGAGAAATAAATAAATATGAATATTTGCTTGCATCACGTGGTATTAGAAACTTGGGTAGTTTTTGGAAGGGTTGGGATTCCTTCAATGGTTTCTCGTGATTTCTTCAGAGACCGATTTGGTCTTCCTAGTTTTAGGTTTTTTCAGGGGTTTTGGCGTGGCCCCCCACTTTTGTATGTATTGTTTCTTTGTTTATTTAAAATATTTAGGTAGAGATACTGCATATGATTGTTACTGGCTAGAATGTGCGGTTACTTGGGATTGTAGCCAGCATAGCGATGTTTTTGCATACTTGCTTTATAAAAAAAAAAAAAAAGACTTACCCTATACCTCCCAAAGGAACACCATGACAAAATGTCGTGCTACGCTTGGCAAAAGGATCAATCATTCCAATCTGTGCAAGAAAGATAGAAACAACAAATAAACGCAGAAAACAGCCAGAGAAAAATAATCAGATGGATTCTTCATCGCACTAATCGATATATGATAGAAATTCATAGACAAAATAAGATTACCCTTCCTTTGGCAGCTTCTTCCCGACAATAATGCCATAAGCGATAGCCAATCGGAGCCTACCAAATCAAAAAATAGCCTCGTCAAATTCCCGATGCTCCTAATTTTTAAATATAATAGGTGGGGAAAAAAACGATAGAGTTGATATATGATATACCCAATAGGGATAATATTGCAGAGCATCAAAGTATATGAAAGGGGAGGTGACACTGAACTGTCTTGTCCTAAAACAGAAATCAAGAACAGAGTCCCTGAGATTTAAATTGTCTTATAGGGTAGGATTGCATGAGATGTCAACATTTCATAAATATTTGAAAGAACTTGAGTATGATTAACAGTAAATTGAAGTCGAAAAAAAAAGGTGTTGGGAGTGAGATAAGCAATAAGGAGGAGTTAATGGGATGCAGAATGAAGGTTTATGGTGCGATCTCTTTCAAACATTGTTACATGAATAGCCTTACCAGATGAACAATATCTTTGAAACATAAGGAGATTTCGGATGAGTAATTTCCATGGGAGTTCAATTTTCGGTGCCATGTAAGTGAAGGAGGATTGGGTGGGTGAGCCTTTAGCGGACATGAAACAAAAAGAGATGTTAGTAGAATGAATGTGGCATGATGAGACGGGTAGTATAAAATTAACCTTTCTGGTAGAACACTTGTTGTCTCCCATCTTCCCTTGTCTTGCGTTTTCTTTACTTAACCAGTACGTTGAATTAGACATGGGATCTGCTAATCGTCCCTCTCTACTTATACTTTTTTTTTTCATAAAGGCGCGCCTAAGTAAACTTAACAGATGTAATAATTACATTAAAAATACAGTTGTATGTTTTAAATATTAAATGGTGAGATGAAATTTTTAGTAATTTAACTAAGCTTATTATCAATCTTCATTCAATAGTCATTATTAGATATTTTAATGCAATTTATTATTATTATTACTTTTCATTTATTATTGTTTCTTTTATTTTTATAAAAATATTTAATTATTACACTGTTTTTAATATTTCTTGAAATGTTCTTTTTTATATAGTTTAAAATTTTAAAAATAACATTACAAAATTAAAATAATTAATTTATGAGAAAATTATATATAATAAAAATTAAAAGAATTAACTTAAATTTAGAAATAAAAAATTTGAATTTCTGAAAATAAATAAAAGTCAAATTTGATTACTAATATTTTTATCATAATTATTATATTTATATGTATCTTATGTTTTCAATACGTGGTTTTGGTCTTCCATCGTTTTGTCCACGACTTGTTTTAGAAAATTCATAACTTTGACTTGGTCGACAAATTTTTATTATTTATTTAAGTTACCTTGAAAACTGTGCTAAGTATTAAATGTATTCATATCAACTTCGTGATAAATCATCACTGTCTTAAAAAATTATTAATAATATGACCATCTAGAAGAAGTATTTCCAAAAATAAATTGCCCTTTTAATTCTGCAATACCCAACCTCTCTTACAAATAGATCATCACCTAATTGTGAGAAACCTTCCCTTTCAAAGGGATCAATCATTGATTATGTTAGCCGTCTCACACGTGTGGTCCTCAAATGATCGCCTACTTCTGGGATAACAAATTTCCTTATTATTGCATCTGACATTCCCACTAGTGAATGAAATTACTAGATAATTAAAATTAATAAGAAACCAAAACTTATAAATGAAGATAATGAAGAAACCAAATTCAAGAAATAACCATGATAAAAAAAAAAACTAAATGTAAAATTAAGCCAAATGTATTCAATTCTTTCAGATAGAATAGAAACTTAGAAAATTGTGGAGATGGAGGGTACAGGAAAGAAATAAAATATTACTCACTACAAATTCTAAAGCAAATAAGCTACAGTTGGAATTAGGAGACAAAACAAGAATTAGAGAGTTGTTCATTTGGTTTCCTTTGGCACGAATAATGATAATTCAGGCAAAGAAATCCGTTTGGGTGGGAGAGAATAGGCTTAGTTCAACAAACTTGCTGTCCCTATCCCTATCCCTTTCCAATGTCCGAAATGAAATTGAACCACCTTTAGTTGATGCATCAGAATACCTGCATTGAGTGGAACGGGGAGTTGGATTGTTCCCTTCAATATCATTATCTTCTTGGTGACCATGATTAGCAATAAGAGACATGGTATCATTACAATCAACATTCAGTCTCCAAGCATCTAAATCTAGCAAGTTCCCCAGCGCCAAACTATCTGCAACTGGACGATACACAAGCATGCACATGCACACCCCAGCACAACACACAAGGGCAAGAAAAGCCAAGAAAGCAAAGGCTTCAAACATAAAATGCTCAGGTCCAGATAAAACAGATAAACCAAGGAAAAGAACCCTTAATGGAAGTAAACCTGAAACTGAGAGTATCAGTGTGTAAATCCTCTTCTGCAATCCCTTATTAATAACTAACTTCAAAATCCTACTTCCAAGCCAAAAAAGGTAGGAGGTGAGGATAATGGCGAAAAGGCCAAGGAAAAGAGTACTGAGTAAAGGGTAAGTACAGAGGGCGATGTCATGTTCCTCAGTAATTGAAGAGGCAGTAGCTGTACTTGTAAAATAATGAGGCAACTTTTCTCCAGAACCATTGTTATTCTTGTTTAGGTGAGGTCCAACCAAAATGACGAAAAGTTGAAGAACAAAGATTGGGAAGCAGTATAGCAGAATATAGCCGGCTGTCTTCCCATTCCATTTTCTGTTCATAATTCCAGTATCCAACGTCTGTAAGGGTGCACGGAGGAGAAACACTAGTGTGAGGAAGAGACAGGGTTCTGCAAACCCCAGATTTGATACAATGTAGCATTTGCAGATCGTTTCCTGCCATTTTAAGTGAAGGGCACGTCTTAACAAACTTAACCGAATAATCTCACCAAGACCCCACCAGATTGCAAACAAGATAAATGCTATTCTGATGATCCAAGGACCACTAAAATAACTCAGCTGAACAAAACCCCGATTATTAATACGAGACCTAAAGTAAAATGAGTATGCAATGCACATCAAGCCCAGAATAAGCAATATGGCTACCAAACAAATTGTGACCACACTGAATGCATCGGCAGCAAATCTCGTCAGGGGCATTACCCGAATTACAGATTCCAAGCATGCTCTCTGATAGCATGGATAAAAAAAATTCTTTTCAGAATTCCACTTTAACTCGCTCGGAGTCTCGGTATTAGAGATAGAAGGCAATGACGGAACACAGACCAGACATTCATTATGACTCCAACTGAACAACTAGCTCCCTTTCACGTGGCCGAATGGCAACGAGACCCATCTACCTCAGAACATGTGTGCTGCCAAGTACCTAAGAAAATAAAAGCAAATACGTAAAATTGGAACAAAATTACTTGATACTTTAACAACAGAACATGGAATTTCACTTGGTGTATAACTTGTATTTCAGAAGAAAAAAATTGTTTGATTAAGCCGGCAACATATTTGCATGAATGATTGATTGGGGTGAAGTTGAATAAAAGAAAGAGTAAAGGGTGAGCAGTAACTGGGTTTGAACATAAACTTGATTCTGACTCTGACAGAGGAATACAAAACAATAACTTAAGTAAGTAACAAACTAAGCTAGCGAATCTGAAACTTGGTTGGTTGAATCAAAATTGAAATGGGTTTATATTAGAGGACTGGAAAATGAAAGAAAAAAAGGGTGAGGAAGCAAGAAATGATAGAAAGAAGGAATGGAGAACTTAGGGTGAGAGTGTTGGATTTGATGGATCTAGAAGATGAGAAAGGATGAAGGAGAAGTGAGAAATGAGAATCCAATGACTCTCCCTGTGTTGTGTGTGTTGTGTTGTGCTGTGTTGTTCCAAATTCCAAATCATACACACATGTTGTCTCCAGCCTGTCTCCAGCTGTCTCAGCACAACTCTCCTTTTTTTTTCTTAAATAAATATTATTTCCAATAATATGTCACGCCACGCTCTAACCACTTCCTACTGTATACTTTATTTTAGTTTCAGCATTTGTATTTTGCATTATATATTATTAATGTAAAATTTCTGAATATTTTTCCTTTTAACTAAACCTACCATTACTCAATTGGTGTTGTAAAGTAAATATAATTCAATTTTCCTTCATGCATGTGTAGTGTTAATATTACCATATTATGCAAACAAGTTATCTTGAGTTTTAATTAGGTCCCAGTCAAATTCACCCATGTGGCTAATTTAATTTTTGAATTGGACTAGGACATGAATAAATATGTTCCAATTCCTCATGTAAAAGTCCTCTAGTAAAACGGCAAAATTTCCTTTTTACACATGCAAAATTATTAGAGATAACATAAATTTTTTAATTTTTTTGAATTATATAATCTAAAATATATCATAAATAATTTTAAAGTATATAATTTGAAAAATGTTATAAATTATATATTTTAGAATATAGTTTTCTAATAATGAGGCACTATGAAGAAAAAAAAGTAGAAGAAAAATGTATTAAGGTTCATAATTAGACAAAAATAAAAAATAAAAAACTCGAAATTTATTTGAGAACTCACTCACTTGTGTGAAGCATAAGATTTTAAAAAAAGTATAATAAATATAAAAGTAAAATAAATGAGATTAAAAAGAAATTTTAAATAGAAGATAAATGGATTTAGTAATTATCTAAATAAAAAATATATTCGTGATTAAATTTTCTTAATTTATTTCATGTTTCTTAATTAAGAAAAAAATACGAAAATTCCCTAAAATTGAAGATAAACAAATTAAAGTATAAAATAAATTTAATAAATAAAAGATTAAACAACTATTACTTTTTGTTGCATAAAAACTATTTTCTTGTTTTCTGCTCATCAAAAGGAAAAACCTCGAAAAAATTAAAAGATAAAACAAATTTAATAAACAAAAAAAATGCTATTTTTGTTTAATCGATAACCATTTTATTGTTCTATGCTTATCAAATGAAAATAACCCTTAAAAAATGAATAAAATCATATTATAAATCCAATGAACTAAAGATTAAACAAAAACATTCTGCTATGTGCTCGTTAAATATCAACATTGACTACATCTAAAGAATAACAAAAATGAATGACAAAAGTGAATAAAAAAGATAAGAAACATGTAATACTACAATATCTACAACACACACAAAAGTGGAAAAAGACAATAAAACCATAAAAACCACAATTGAAACAACACTAAGATGGGCAATAGAGTCATTTCAATTCTTGTCCTCAAAACAAAGCAACCTATAAGTTCTTTGAAAATGACACACAAACCATTAAAATGTATAGGAGTCGAAAGCAAATTAAAAGGTAAAAAGGTATTTTAATGTTGCCATAGGATTCAAGAGAGAGGAGCTCCAGAAATAATCAATAAACCAAAAACAGGAACATATTGTTTGGATTAAAAAAATAATTATTAAAAGGATAAAATGGTAAAATAATTATTTTAATTTATAAATAAATTAAATTTAGATTAATCATAGTTTAAAGAGTAAAAATATAAATATAATTATTTTAATTTAAAATAAAGGATACTTAAATAATTAAATTGGAAAAAATGTATATACAAAAAATTTGAGTCCATACATATATACATATAAATACGTACACACAGACACACACATATATATATATATATATATAATTTTATTGTAAATATATTTATTTTAGAAGTAATTTTACAATTAAAAAGAAAGCGGAGTAGAATTCAGAAATGGGCCGACCCGGTGAGAGGCAATGACACAAAACCCTAATAAGTAAGTAGAAAGACATGAAAGCAGTTACATTGGATTGAATCTCACACTCTCCACAGCACCAGCCGTGCTTCGGACTTCCATCCCACTGTAAGATTTCATCTGCCTCTCCCTTCCCTTTTTTTCCATTTCAGTGAGATTTCCTTTTCATATCCGCTTTTCTTCTCGATTAGCAGCTCCAGATCGCAACTCTGCACCAGAAGGGGGACCGCCTTTTTCTTCAATTTCCTTTAACTATGGCTCCGCTGGTGAGTCCTAGTCTTCCTATGCAATAATTTCACTCTTTCTTTTAGATTTTCACTTACTTACACTCAATCACTCACTCACTAATCCACTCCTTCTCTATCAATTGGACTGTTTTCTAGATCCTGCATGGTGGCAAAACAAACAAAAATTCCTACAAGACACTTATTGCAGCGGAGTACGTAGGCGTTCAAGTTGAGCTTGCTCCAAATTTTGAGATGGGTGTATCCAATAAAACTCCTGAATTTCTCCAGATGAATCCTATTGGCAAGGTCTCGTCTTTATCCGCGCCTCTAGACCTAAATCTAATTTAAACCCTACTTTCATTTCATCTCATCTCTGCTTCATCATTCTTGCAGGTTCCTGTCTTGGAAACACCCGATGGTCCAGTGTTTGAGAGCAATTCCATTGCTCGCTATGGTAAGCAATGTCATGTATAACTAGCCTGTCTTGTTCTGCTTTTCGAAACCCCTACACCATCATCTAAGGGTTTACATGAGCTAATTTAATGATGTTCACCTTGCATTGTATGCATCTGAGTATGAGGATTGTTGCTATTTATCTTTTCTGATGTTGAGGTTGTTTTGCTGTAGTTACCCGGCTCAAAGGTGACAACACTTTGTACGGTTCATCTTTGATTCAATACGTAAGTATATTTTCCTCCCAAAATTATCTCAAATGTTTATTGTTGCTGAGTATTCGTACTGTACATATGCCCTCTACAAATGGCTGCTTTGTTGCTGTTAGTTTATGTGCTCATATTTTTTATATTTTATTTTAACGTTTCAGGCCCAGATTGAACAGTGGATTGATTTTGCATCACTTGAGATTGATGCCAATATTATTAAGTGGTATGCCCCAAGAGTTGGACGAGGACCATACCTTCCTCCGGTCAGTTCTTTACAAAGAATTTTTAATACTAAAGAAGTTTGTAATTTAGAAAATTTATTTGACAATTCCATGTTGATCTATGATGCAAGATGTCAGTTGGGTTCATTTATCATGTTGGTAAAAATATAATAATAAATATATGTTAGTTCAATAAAGATATATATGTTAGTTGAATCGATAACCCATGTGTGGGAAAATATATAGTTATGGAAATTAAACGGTGGATGAAAATGGGGAAGTGTTCAATTCTTCTGCCCACAGTTTGTGTTTGTTGTTCTTCAATATTTTTTGGTCCTTGTTAAACATCATATTACCCTGATATTTTGGCCTGATCTTAATTATACGTCTGAATGAAGGCTGAGGAGGCTGCAATTTCTGCACTAAAGAGAGCTTTGGGTGCTTTGAACACTCACCTCGCCTCCAATACTTACCTGGTTGGGCATTCTGTGACCCTGGCTGACATCATATTGACATGCAATTTGTATTTGGGTTTTGCAAACATCCTTGTTAAGAGCTTCACCTCTGAGTTTCCTCATGTTGAAAGATATTTTTGGACCTTGGTCAATCAACCAAACTTCCGAAAGATATTTGGACAGGTCAAGCAGACTGACTCTGTTCCACCTCTTCAATCTGCAAAGAAGCCTTCCCAGCCAAAGGAAACTAAGCCCAAGGCCAAAGAGGAGCCAAAGAAAGAGGCCAAAAAAGAGCCAGAAAAGCCCAAAGAAGCAGCAGAGGAAGAGGCACCTAAGCCTAAACCCAAGAATCCCCTTGATCTTCTCCCTCCAAGTCCAATGATACTGGATGAGTGGAAAAGACTGTACTCCAACACTAAAACAAACTTCAGGGAGGTTGCTATCAAAGGTAATGTTTCTGTAACCCCTCCGGAGTCATTGTTTTGAATTTTTCCCAAGGATAACGATTATAGTTTATGATCATTACAGAGTGGTTATGAATAGAATTTAATTTGTTTTATGACATGCAGAGGCAGGTTCATTTTAAAACCTTTTTATCTTGCAGGATTTTGGGACATGTATGATGCTGAGGGATACTCTCTCTGGTTTTGTGATTACAAATACAATGATGAGAATACTGTTTCTTTCGTGACATTGAACAAGGTTGGTGGATTTCTTCAGCGGATGGATTTGGCTCGCAAGTATGCATTTGGAAAGATGCTAGTGATTGGATCAAATCCACCGTTTAAGGTGAAGGGGCTGTGGCTTTTCCGTGGGCAAGAAATCCCACAGTTTGTGATTGATGAATGCTATGACATGGAACTTTACGAGTGGACGAAGGTTGACATATCTGATGAAGTTCAAAAGGAGCGTGTCAATCAGATGATAGAAGATTTCGAACCTTTTGAGGGCGAGGCTCTTCTGGATGCCAAGTGCTTTAAGTGAAATTTATTCCTTGTAAGAGGCTGCTGCTTTTGTCATGTGTCTTCGTTTTTGGTAGGTTTCGGTTTCTTTCATATGTCTTTAACAGTGAAGAAGTGTTAGCCGTACGCACTTTATTTGAGCCGCATCGAAACTTCATAATATTTAGTTTTTTACCTTAATTTTAATGATAGCAAGACAAATACGAGTGCCATATTTTTTTATGCCGGGTCTAAGCATGTATGGAAATAGACGGGTTCGTGTTTTTCTCCTTCCTACTCAATAAAAGAGGTAACACTTAAGGATCGAGGCTAACACTCAAATAATTTGATATTTGATTTAGCTTCAATGTCAATGCTATTTTCTCCTACCAACCGGTATTGACACCCGGTGTCCGTGTAACAATGTAGTTCAAGGAGGAAAGACAAGGAGGGATTTTGTGATTAATATTTAGAAATGCGTTGGTCACCAGTGATATTTTGGGATTGTATAAGAAAAAATTCATCTTGTATGTCACATTTTGGTTATGTTGGTCACCACGTATTAATTATTTATTTTTAAGCTAAACTATATTAAATTTTAACGATAACTAAGACATCTCCCGCCTTTTCTCGATAAAGGGAAATGTCGCCCAATCTTTTTCATTATTATAAAACAATTATTTTATCGACACCTCTTCTCAAACTAATTATAGATTTATAAAATTATAATTTTAGTTATAAAAGAATAGAAAGCAAACTCTCACTTGTCGCATGGAAATGGCTTCCATGCAGGATGTAAGACCAAAATATAGAAGATGAGAATCTCGCCTATTATTTGTTGTCTTCGAAAACATTTGAGGATGATTTTTATAACTTTAATAACGTTGGTTATGCAGTTTTCTTGTGATCTATTAAACAATCACTGATGTCGAATTTTGTGTGGCTCAACCCCAAGTTTGTTTTATTTTGTAATGTTTACTTCATTATAACTTTTCGATATATTTTAAGGTAGATGGAGACGAAATTAATGTGTGAAGTTTAATCTTGAGTCAATTAAGGTCTGTTTGTGTAAGTCAAAGCAATGCAGCTCATAGAATATGTTCAAATTGATCATTTTTAAATCTCACTATTTCTGCTATATTTTGATGTACCCGTTAAAACGCCTATTTTCAATTTATGCCTATTAATTTCATTGACAATTCAATTAAGATTTAAGTTTGTTTTTTTGTCTTTATAGTTTAAAAAATGTGTATAACATGTTGAATTTTAATTATAGATTGCATTCACAATTTTTTAAGATTAAATAATTTAAGTTTATTAATAACATATTATTTGATTATTAACAAAAAAATCTTAATTTATCATCATAGAAATGTTTATTAAAGTTAATTGTTAAACTCGTCACAGTAAGATGACTTGTATTAAAGAATTTTATGATGTTCCAGTCAGTTAAAAAAAATTTGACCACTTAATACTTAAATATGCATACAAAACACATATAACACTTTCATATATTCACATTTGATGAAAAAAAATGAAAACAAACCATCACAAACGATATTAGATTTGCGAAGAATAATCTTCCCTCAATCCCTCAAACCATTATAGATTGCGCAGACTAAAATATATTTTAGGATTAAAGAATTGCATTTCAGATTACAAAATAGTTATATAGATTATATAACCTCAAGTATATTATAAGTTGTATAATTTCAAAATATATTTCGATTAGCTTACTTATAAATTTAAAATACACTTTGGAAAATATAAACCATAGATCACGTATGAAAATGCATTAGGAAGTGATGAGATGAGAGGAGTAGGAAATGAAGGGAGAGGAAGTTGGGGGTGACGTGGCTAATTTAAGAACAAGAAAGCAAAAAGAGGTGAGTTAAGATGAGAAAGGAGAATTTGAAGCGAGCGTGTCCACGATGATGGCTGCACCTAATCTGGTGAGATGTTACAGTTCATATAGAAATGATGTGATGAAGTCTAAGTGGAAGTGCAAGGCGGAAGGTGAAGCTGATGTGGTTGTGATTGGGAGTGGGGTCGGTGGACTGTGTTGTGGAGCACTGTTGGCAAGATACGGGGAAGATGTGTTGGTGGTGGAAAGCCATGACCAACCGGGTGGTGCTGCCCATTCTTTTGATATCAAAGGGTACAAGTTTGATTCTGGGCCATCTCTGTTCTCTGGCTTGCAATCAAGGGGTCCTCAGGCTAATCCTCTTGCACAGGTTTTGGATGCCTTGGGCGAGACTCTTCCATGTGCCACTTATGATTCATGGATGGTTCACATACCTGAAGGTCAATTCTTGTCACGCATTGGCCCTACGGAATTTTTCAAGGACCTTCAACAGTACGCAGGTCCAAATGCTGTACAGGAGTGGCGCAAACTTTTAGTGAGTTAGTTCTCTTCCCTTCCCCCTCCTAATCCCAATATTCTTCACTTCAAACATATCGTAATTTGTTTCACATCACAGGATGCCGTACTTCCATTGTCTGCAGCTGCAATGGCTCTTCCCCCTCTCTCTATTCGTGGAGACTGGGGTGTGCTTTCCACTGCTGCAGCTAGATATGCTCCCTCTCTTTTCAAATCCTTTCTTCAAATGGGACCTCGGACTGCTCTTGGGGCCACTAAACTTCTCAGACCTTTCTCCGAAATACTTGATGATTTGCAACTCCAAGACCCTTTCGTACGGAATTGGATTGACCTCCTCTCATTCTTGCTTGCTGGAGTCAAAGCTAATTCTGTACTTTCAGCTGAGATGGTTGCTAACTACTCTTCTTTCACCTATTTTATGCCTTACTTACAGTTACAAATGACAATTTTAATTTGGATTGTTTTTTTGGCAACTGTGTCCCCATAGCATTTTCAAATAGGTGCTTCTTTCTTTTTTTTTCTACAACAGATATCAATTTTAATTTGATGATATAAATTTACATCCCTCTTAGTAGCACATCAAGTTCTGATTCTCACCAAACATTCCCTCTTCCCAATTTTTATACATTCACACAAAGTTACTTGCAAACTAATACATACACAGAATTCCTTGTTAAATGGTACTTACTATTCGTGAAATAAGACTGTCTTTACATTATTGGCTTTCTTATTCACCTTTATAGAACAGATATTTGCAGTTATGACGAAGGGATTTGGTGGTGCTCAACATGTGATCTCTATAGGGCTTGTTGTTAAATTGATTCCGTTTACCGAAGAACATTGTCTCTTTTCATTTCTTAACATCTTCTAAAGCAATGGCATAGAAAGTTTATGATTCACTGCTGGTTGAAGCCTTAGTGTTCTAATTAGCGAAACCTTTGTAAATTGTTACTAATGTTCAATTTATGAATGCCCAAACAAATTTACCCCCAAATTTTCAGGTTTACATGTTTGCAGAATGGTACAAACCAGGATGCTGTCTTGAGTACCCCCTTCATGGAAGTGCAGCTATTGTGGATGCTCTTGTGCGAGGACTAGAGAAATTTGGGGGAAGAATTTCTCTCCAAAGTCACGTGGAAAATATTGTTGTTGAAAATGATAGAGCCATTGGAGTCAAGCTGAGGAGTGGTCAAGTGAGTATATTTTGATTGATAAGAAAAGGCTCAAAGATGAAATTTTGTTGGCTAGCATCTGCGTTTTAATTTTTAATTCAATATTTATGTATTCTGCAGTTCCTACGTGCTAAAAAGGCTGTTGTCAGCAATGCATCGATGTGGGACACTTTAAAATTGCTACCTAAAGAAGCTGTTGCAAAGTCTTTTTCAGATAGGATTAACACGACTCCTCAATGTGATTCATTCATGCATCTCCATTTGGGATTTGATGCAGAGGTTTGCCATTTTGGTGACTGGTTTTATTTGTTTGTAATGTCTTTCTCTTGAAGCAATTTGATAAATAACACTGTTTCATCTTTGATTTATTCACTGAGAATTGTTATATTTCCCCCCCTTTTATACGACAAGCTTTTTTATGTCCTCAAAGTTGTAGCAGCACAAAACAAGTAATGTCACTCATGCTGGTTGCATCTTCAAGTTTCAAGTAGCTGTCTGTCATCATCCGCCGTTTGAAGTTGATAACATTTTCTAATATCTGATTGACCAGGATATACCCAATGATCTGGGGATTCATCATATAGTTGTAAATGACTGGAAAAGAGGAGTTGATGCAGACCAGAATGTTGTACTGATATCAATACCTAGTGTACTTAGTCCTAATCTGGCCCCGCATGGGAAACATGTGCTACATGCTTATATGCCGGGAACTGAACCATTTGACTTGTGGGAAGGACTTGATCGTAGGAGTGCTGAATACAGAAATCTGAAAGCTGAAAGATCAGAGGTATTCATATCATATGTGGATAATGATATCATGTATGCTTAGTAGTTAACATAGCATATATGTGTGTTTGTTGAATCAGGTAATGTGGAAAGCTGTGGAGAGAGCAGTGGGGGGAGGTTTCAGCAGGGAGAAATGTGAAGTGAAGTTGGTTGGAAGCCCACTAACACATCAAAGGTTTCTTCGGAGGAACAGAGGAACATACGGGCCAGCTGTGCAAGCTGGCAAAGATACCTTTCCTGGACATTCAACTCCCATCCCACAACTTTATTGTTGTGGAGACTCCACCTTTCCTGGCATTGGAATACCGGCAGTTGCTGCCAGTGGTGCAATTGTAGCTAATTCTTTAGTCTCAGTATCTCAGCATTCCAACCTGCTTGATGCAATTGGCATATGAACCCAAGAAACAAAATCTTTTATATGGCTTTCCAACCTACATCTATCTTCTCACTCTTCTCTTGTAACTGGAGTTATTGACTAAATCTCAATTTTTAAGGCTTCACAGAAATTGCATCTGTTGGAAAAAATATATGCAACTTTTCTTTTAATCACAATTTTGAAATCAAAATAAATGTGGAATTATAAGACAATTGATAATGGATTCAGGAACTTATGCTCACATCAGGTCTGCTGATGATCTTTTACTCAAGAAAAATATGTTGAAGTCAAACCCATCACGAAATGACCGTATCATTTCGTAATTTAGTAACATGTGTTTGTGCATTTCAAATTCTAACTTTTTAAGCATATGCACTTTCGGGAGGAAAACTATAATGGCATATGTCAGATAAAAATTAAATAAATAGCATCATCATCACTCACCTTCCAACCAATCTTTTATACTTTTTAAGATTTGAAATGAAATTCTTTTAATTTGGTAAGAATTTGGTATTAGTAGGATTTGAAATGAGATTCTTTTAATTTGGTAAGAATTTGGTTATTAGTATTAATGGATGTGTCAACAAGTTTTGAATTCATCAATCCAGTTTTCATCAAAATATTCAAGGCAAACTTTCTTTGAAATATTAAAATACTATCACTGGATTGTTTTTCCTCAATACCCAACAAGTATTTGAGTTTGTCAATATCTTTGGTCTAAAAATGATGATAAAGGTGTTTCATAAGAGATGTCATGGTGATCATTGTGAAAACAAACTCATCAAAATATACTATTAAATAGACACATCCAACAACATCCAACATTTGAGTGACGATAAAAGACTAAATGATCTTTCTTATTTCGAATCATACCAAATTGTTGAGCCACACGACTAAATTTGCTAAACTAGACTTTATGAGACTTTTAAGATACATAAAGATTTGTAAAGACGACATATCAATTTGAATAACAAATCTAGAAAGTTTCTCTATATAAATTTCTTTTTACAAATCTCCATTAAGAAAATTATTTTTGACATCTAGTTAATAAAGAGATCATTGTTGAAGAGAAACCATAACCAGAAATAAACAAACAAAAGTCATCTTTTCCATTAAATAAAATATATCTCCCCATAATTTAATCCAAAATTTTATATGTAACCTTTGCTATGAATCGAATTTTGAAATGATCAGTACTATCATTAAAATAAACTTTGACAGCAAAAACTCACCTTCTTGAATAAAGTACAGGCTCTCAAGTTCAACTTTTGCATTGAGCAATCCAATATACATTCTTGAATCTGGTAATGCATACCATAAGTAGATATTTATTTATATTATGTTTTTGAATTTTAGTTTTTAGGTTATTAAATAAAAGATCTGACTTAATATTTAAGGAAATGAGCTATTTTTTTAGTTCATGATTTTTGCAGTTATTTAAATTATTGGATGAGTTATTTTTCAGACTATAAATTTGTAGTTGGTTCCATAATAATATATAGAGAGTGCAATATTCAACAAGTTTTTATAAGGGCAATTGCGGGATTTCAAAGCTTAGGGGGTGCATGAAGAAAAAGGGTGCCCACACTCTCTCAGGACAGCGGCCCGTGCTTAGGGCTTTACTCCCACAGTAAGATTCCCTCTTCGTCTTCTTTTCCCTTCGTTCATTTCACTGAGATTTCCTTTTCATTTTCGCTTTTCTCTCGATTAGCAGCTCCAGATCACAACTCTCCACCAGAAATCAATTTCTTTTAAGCCATGGCGCCACGGTGAGTCTAAGTCTTCCTAATCAACAATATTAACCGATAAATTTCATATATTTATAAATTGGGGTACCCGAACATCAATATAAAACTTTCTTAACCACCAAAGTGACAATCTTTTTTTAAAAACAAAAGAATAGTAATGTTAATTCTGCAGTGTAAATCAAACCCTTCCTGGAGTTAGACCAAATGCCCAACACTCGTACCCTTTTTCTGTTAGGATTGATTTTGGCACCTAACAACCAGAGGAGAAGACAATCACGAGGCACGCACGAGCTTAACCACGGTCTGCTGCGATCGCAGCCCTTGCTGTCGCCGGCGCTCTCTGTCCTCGCCGCCGATGCACGCCGTCTTGCTGCCCTCACAGCTGCTCTTTTTTTTTCTCCCCGCCTCTGTATTGTCTTCGTGGATGTAATCTTTTTGACTTTCTCCTCGCAATCGCCTCTGTTTATTTAGCATTTGAACCTATTTAATGACTATTGTTATGAACCCATGAATTTCGTATGCATTTTTTTTTATCACTTATATGATACACCTATTTATGAATATAATTTTCCATCTACTCTTACGAGTCGAGGTACTATCCTCAAGTTATCAGCATGATTGTATAACAAAGATCCCTCTCCAGTCGCATACTCATTTTCCAAATGTCTAGCATGAGTGCCTTAACATACTGATTTACTTCATATTTTGTTCAACTTTCAGACGTCGATTGTAGATAGTACTTATACATGTGTTCAGTGTCTAGCAGGTTGTTGGAAACATGGCCAAGCATCATCCTGATTTAATTATGTGTCGAAAGCAGCCAGGGATTGCCATTGGACGACTGTGTGAGAAGTGTGATGGCAAGTGTGTGATCTGTGACTCTTACGTGCGTCCTTGTACACTTGTCCGCGTCTGTGACGAATGCAACTATGGGTCGTTTCAGGGTCGATGTGTCATATGCGGAGGAGTAGGAATATCTGATGCCTACTACTGCAAGGAATGCACGCAACAGGAGAAAGATAGAGATGGTTGCCCCAAAATTGTTAATTTAGGGAGTGCCAAAACTGATTTATTTTATGAACGCAAAAAGTATGGTTTTAAGAAAAGATGATAAGGGTAGCTTACTGAGATGCTTGTATCTCTTAAAGCTTTTTGTACGTGTCTTGTTCGGATATAAAAACCATAGGAAGATCTTGAGTATGTAAACTTTTATATGTTGAAATGCTTGTTTAGATTGCTGCTGATAAAAGAATTATGGAGTTATAGAAAGATCTTAGAGTATGTAAATTTTTATATGTTGAAATGCTTGTTTAGATTGCTGATGATGATAAACTACCGTAAGATTATTGTTTGTTAAATATAATAAAAAATTATACGTGAGATTAATCTCTTTGTCTTGAATATAAAAAAAATGAGTTAAGTTTAAAATATAAATAAGAAATAATAACAAATTAACTAAAGATAAAAGATAAATATAAAACTTTCAAACGGATGCATATAAATTGTATACATCAAGTTTGTTATTAATATAATCAATAAAGACTAGTGAAAAATATATCTGATCTACACTCAAATTATACAAAATTGTCAATAAAAACACATGCACAGGTGAGGTAAGAAGATATAGCACGAGAAAGAGATATTGATAAACAAGACAAAGAAACATTAAAAATTCAAAATTCTATTCTTAAATCAAGTAGGAAAAAGAGTAACATCAATGTTCTAAATAGCTACCTGAAAAGAGATAGAAGGTGCGATCACAAACGACAAACTTGAAAGAGAAAAAAGAACCTCAACACTTTAAATCGTTAATTGAATAGAGACGAGACGTGCTACCATAAATGACGAAAAATGATGCAAATTCACAACTTCAAAAGATGATGATAGTGCATAAGAACTCCTATGAAAGCGTAATTAACGATATGATGGTCGTCTGGCCGAGATAATCAGATCACAACTTCAAAAGGTGTAATACAATAAAACTCCTATGAAAGCGTAGTTAATGGTATGATGGTCATCTAGCCGAAATGATAAAAATTATGTGATCATATATAGTGGCAAAGATAACGAAATTTTTTTTCTCAAAAGAATCTTAGATTCTAGATACTATGTTGAATATAATAAAAAATTATGTGAAATTAACCTCCTTTGTGTTGAATATACACATAAAGTCCTTTATTTATAATAGAAAAATATAGACTAAACACAAATACAAATAAACAATAATAACAAACTAACTAAAGATAAAAGATAAATATAAAATAAAGATAATATATCTAATCATATTCATTGGTAATTTAAACAAATGACAATATGGAGTGTTTAAGTTGATATCATGCTAAAATTTGTGCCTGTTGAGGGACAATTGCCATTGTGGCTGGTGTAGTTCATCAATCCTCATACTTCTTTGGAGTTTCTTTTCATTGCAGGCTATTGTGTTTTTCTTTAGGTTGGCACGTGGTTTGGGAAATGGGGTTAATTAAACGGTGTTTTTAAGTTTGTTTTAAAAATATTGTTTGGGAATTGAAAAAGAAATTACGTAACAATAGTTATTAACATAAAACACTTGCTGGTGTCCTTGTAATGTTTTGCGGGTGTGATATTTTCCTAAGCAATTTGTAGATTATAAATGTAGCCTCCTCAATTCAGCTACTGATTTAGCATTTCATTAAGTATTGTAATATGATTGCAACCACAATAGTCCCGACAATAGCAGTTATCGACACCTCCTAAACAAATATTAGTGGTAGCATCTAGGTCAACACAATTTTTCCTAACTAGAAATACAACTTGCTATTTCTTTACACAGGACATAAAACTAAGAGCATGTCTGATCAACCCTATGGTTGAACTCGTCCAAAGACAGTAAAGAAATAAGAAGGTTCAAAGCAGATGACAAGCCTTCTATGCTTGATAACCAGAGCAGCTTTAATTTAATGAAGTGAGTGAGCTCAAATGAGTTGACAGTTGATAGTAAATCATTGATGCGTGCTTCCTTCTTCCAAAAGCAGAGTGATGATTGATTTAATGATCTCATTATTCAGACCAGTTGCATTCTGAAAGCAAACACAAACCCGAGTATTATTCTCATATTGAAAGCAGTCACAGGTAGCTATGATATTACTAAAACATATAGCATAAGGCGTCAAACAATGCATTTACAGATTGATAGAATACTTCAAATGCGGCTAATAATTAAGTGCTAAAATTAGCTCAATATTCAGCCAATTAGGGGAAACAGTAGACACTGATAAAATTAGCTCAATATTCTAGAAATAGGTTATAGCCAGACCGATGAGACGTGTGATATTTGTTTTCCTATTTTCAGTTATTTTCTTTTTTAATCTCTATCCTTTAAAAGGGAGATTACTGATTGTTGATCACAACTAACATACAAATTCTTTTTCTTTCAAGTCAGACCATCCAGTTTGGTCAAGCTATGAGAAAGTGTTTTGCAAATGGAGTTATGACAGTTTGGTCTAACTTTATTTGGACTATCCAGATGGCAAAACTAATTTGCTTTACTAGCAGAAAATGCCAGTATGAATTTTTCTTATGGCTTTCTATTTTTGTTTGTTTTGGTGTTTAGCCCCTTATTGCACAAAAATTGTTTCTTATTTCATTCCGGAGAGTTGTGAGAGATAACTTAATTTTTTCTCTTCATCCTCATTATTGTTAAAGGATTTTCCACACACTCTATTTCACAGTTAAATTACATAGATTTGATTTTGTGGAAAAGTGGCTATATTTCAGTGATACAATGAGGAATAAATAGGACAGAAGAATAATTCTGTACATTAATCTAGCCAATAAATCTGGAAAATAGTTATTCATATAACTGCTGTAGTTAAAAAGAAGGAAAACCGATTCTAATTAAATCGATATTAACAGCATAAATGAGACAATTTTTCTGATTGATTTCCGCATATCAAATCTTGACTCTTATTTCTTTCCTTAATTTTCAACAATCATATCAATATTAATTCCAAATCAAAATTTAACACATTTTATTTTGAACACAAAAATTTAACACATTGTATTTACCTATTTTCTTTTTAAACACAAATTGACTGTTATTTTATTTGGGAAAAATTGGTTGTCAAAAGAAATTTGTATTGAATTTGTTGGATCAAATAATCCACTTGTAGATGTGTTAACCAAGTCGTTAAGGAAACCTCAGAATGAGTTTATCTGTTCCAAACTTGGAACATCCAACTTGTGGGGAGTGTTGGAATTAGTATTAATTCTAGGTAGAAAGTAGTTGTTTTGGGAACTACTACCTACTGTACGCATGTAATGTACCTAGTTTTGTACCTAGGCTTCTAGTGCAGTCTTTTGATATTTCATTTTTGCATTATATCAAATTTGTATCATTATAAATAGAAGATAAGAAGGGTCTTTTAAGCCGTCCAAAATATATTTTCTCTCTTATTAATCTCAAGTATAGCCATGTCTTTAATCCCAAGTATATTTTCTCTTTATCAACTAGATGTCAAAAATGCTTATTAATGGTAATTTGCAAGAAGAAATTTATATGGAGTAACATCTAGGTTTTGTTGCTTAGTGGGAGTCTTTTGGATTGGTATGTCATTTCCAAAAATCTTTATATGGTGTGAAGCAGTCTCCTACAATTGGGTTTGGCAAATTTAGCATTGTTGTTAAACAATTTGATATGACTTAGAGTGAGGCAAATTATTTAGTATTTTACTGTCATTCTGGTGGTGGGTGTATTTATTTAATAGTACATGTTGATGATATTGTACTTACAAGCAATGATCACCATGACATCTTATAGGTAAAATAACACCTTTGTCACCACTTTTAGACTAAAGACCTTGGCAAACCTAAATATTTCTTAAAAATTGAGATAACACAATTGAACAAGAGAATTTTTATTTCTCAAAGAAAGTATAAATTGAATATTTTGGAGGAAATTGGGAAAAATGAATTCAAAGTCTATTGACCTACGATGAATCTCAATGCCAAACTCCTGCCTAATTAGGGGGAGTCACTCTGAAATCCTAAGTATAGATTAGTTGCATTCAATATGTTTGATGTTTTCAAAATCAAACTTGAACTCCTTTATAGGTGGGAGATTTTGACCATTAAACTTCAGTGGTAAAAAATGCTTAATAATTTTAGCCACCCACTACAGAATATCATTAACTATGGAAATAAAGCTTAAAATGGCACCTCTGGCTTTCTGATAAGCTCTTTCATAATGGAGTGGAGAGCTAACCGCAGCTCCTTGAACAAGACAGCTACTTGGGCAGGTGCTGTCAATTTCAACCATCCATCAATGATGACCTGACCAGTCTATCACAAAAAGCAAAGAAAATTAAAAATAAGAAACAGCTATTACACTTCGGAGAGTGCATATTTAAACAATCTAACCAAAATACATGTTCCCATTAAGAAAATACTTATTGTTTTAAGCAAAGTCCCCTAACTAACCAACTACAAAAATTCCAATAGATTGACTCTTTTTCAATTATAATGGAGGAGAAATTTCAATACTGTTTCTGATATTATTCTTGGAGGAGCAATTGTTCTTAAATAGAATGCACAGACATAACAACTGAAAAATGTAATCTACGATGGATATAATATATTCCTACAATCCAGGATCAATGATCTTGTACAATAAATATAAAATATACTGTCAGCCTATTAATCCTCCTAACTATGAAATGTAATCAAGTCTCCTAATTATGTAATTAAAACTAGACAAGGTAATATTAACAGCAGCATAAATCAAGGAATTCTGACATCAGCTAATCTAGAATTTCTTATAAAATTGTCCTTTACTCCATGTTAATTACATAAATTAAAAGTTACAACAGATCCTTAAGTTCATGGGTGTGTTTAATGCACATCAGCAAGAAACTCAAGTAAAACATACACGCAATCAAGTCACAGAAAATATGATAACGTCTTCCATGTTATTTGATATGAACAAATGTTGAACATAAAAGATGCAAAATTTATTTTAAGTTTATTTTACAGGAACAAAAGACAAATAAGATTTTCATATTTCTTTAATTATTTCAATATTTATCATTCAATTATTTTCACCCATTGTTTACAATTTATTAATAATGTTACCATAATTGTATATGATTATAAATAAAAATAAATTTTAAATTAGATAGAATGTAATTCTAAAGAATTGTTTCATGATGTCAATTTGGTTTCATTCTTAAGAATATTCAGATAAATTAAAATTGTTAGAAAATAAAATTCATAAATTTTAAAGAACTACCAAATGTCCC